GGTGTGCCACTTACAACCATTCTGTTCAGGGAAGCTCTGAAAAGTTTTGGATTTATTATTTAAACCAGCAATTCTACCTTATGTTAACTGATTTATATACTACACTTATAAAAGAAATTGTAAGCCAGAGATAGTTGTTGGTTAAAAAACCGATGCAGACTAAAAGTTATGTGACCAAGATAAAGTTAGCTAAACCCCCCTCAAAATTTCCTACCCAATTCATCACACAGCTGCACAAACACTAGAGCTGGTGCAATGGATGGGGGTGGAAAGCATTCCAATGCAAGATGACAACAGTAGAAAGGTTGGGAGGTTTCAGTCATCACCAGCTGATGGCAAAACAGGAGCTTGGGCACCAACAGACACATGCAGGGGTTTAAACTCCTCTCTAATTCACGAGTATATCCAACTGATCAAGGCAATTAATGGCATTTCACTCAATAAAGTTTTCTCAAGCAGTGACTCCTCCAGGGAACGAGTTTTAGGTAACTCCTTGAATCTCTTAGGAATCCTTACCTGGATGCTGAGGAGTTTTTGGTTTTGCCCATTACAATTGCAACTTTGCAATTTGGGTTCCCAGCACCTTAAAAAACGTGAAAAATACAAAATTAGTTTTCAATTTAAAAATCTCAGTGTAGAATCAAATGAAGCTTCATAACAAGAAATCTTACTGCCTTCCTTTCCTGATACAGGAGATACAATCTACTGCTGTGTCGTCACTCTGAGTTATCAAGGCTGAAACAAAATACCTCTTTACTACTCAACATGTAAAAGGGAGTTGACTTGTGGGAAGGGGAACATGAAAATCCAAACATCCAAACCCTCCAGGATCCAGCTCCATTATCCATTCTGATGAAAAAGGAACAAGAAGATATTTGAAATGGAATCTAATTACTTCTGTCTCCATTACAGCTGAGCAAATAAGTGTGATGAAAAAACACATCTCTCAAAGCGAGACGCTGCTATTTCAAAAGGAAAACTTCTTTAAAAACATCTTTAAACTATAAAGACTGGAGGGTCTATGTGGGAATGGAACGCCAATGGGATTATAACTAAATTACGCAAATAAGACTATCAAAGGGTTACCCTGATGACTTTGCTACTACGTCAGCATAACTTCCCTGGAATGCAGGTTTTTTCCACCTTTACAAAAATGATTTTAGATTGCACTTCAAAGAAGGCTCTAAGTGGAAATTTTTACCTGAAAATAGTCTGCTAGCATTTCAAACCATTGATAACATTATTTGAAATGTTTGTTATACAGACATATTTATTATACTTTTGTAGCACAAAGTCAGCATTTTAATTTACAAGTCCTAAAGAAGACTCTACCGTTGATTAAAATTTCTACGAACCTTAATCTTTACTGTCTTTTTCTTTTAAGATTTCTTGGTACCAAAGCATGCTCTCATTCCTTTCAAAGCCTCACAAAGGTAGGGAAAATACCTGATGGATGTAACAATCAGTAACTTTTTTATTGCATCTCAATGCAGATGACAAGCTTTGCAGAGATTTAATTCAAGGTTTGATCTATACCAATTCAGTTTGTTCTGAGGTCAGAAACAAACTTTTTATCTTTGGCAGCTGTTAGAACAAGGTTTGGGAGCCTGTGGTCTAGACAATACAACCACCTGGCTTTGAGCTGAGCTATTTCCTCCTACAAACAGCCACTGTGATGGCCAGGAAGCAGGAGAGAGATTTATTTCATTCTGATAAACACTGCCTGTTTTGAGGGCCAGACTGCTGGCTGTTTACTTTCCTCTCTTGTAATATGATATTCATCCATTGTTTCCAGAGTGGGGTTATTTTTGTGGCCCATGAGCTGTACAATGCTAATGAGCTAAAAATCTGAGTGAAAAGCTTTGGCAGGGAGGATAAATCAGCTTGGTTAAAAAAAAAAAAAAAAGGTAGATCCCAAACTACCCTGCACAGAGAAACACTGCCTCTCTGTGTAAGGGGTATTTGATTCTTCTCCTTTCCACAGAAGGTAAAGAATTGCCTGAGATCAATTTTCTAAACCAGATCTACCTTGAAGTGAGGTTTAAAACAAAATATATTTTTGACTTTCTGGAATCTCTTTAAAAACTGTTTTGTAAATAATCCTCAAGTCACATCCCTGCTTCAAAAAAAGGCAAATTTCACCATGTTGTATGAAAAAGAACCCAACCAGAGAAAGCTTTCATCTTGAACTCAGTGAGAAGTTCACCGAGAGCTAAACATCTGGTTAGATTCCCTAAATAATTTGTACAAATTTCTGGAAGGCAAATGAATACCTCCATTTCATCTGTTCTTATTCCTATCTGAGCCCAGCAAAGGAAGGCAGATTCCTGGCCTTTCCACTCCTTAGAGTCTGAAGTCCGGGAAACCTAAAACAAATTTTATGTGACTTTGACCTATAAAAGCCAGAAAGAAGTTCTGATCTAATGCAAGACACTGAAAGACTTCAATGCTTTGGAAGGAATGCCAACAGCCTGGATGGAATAAATCTCTCATTTATAAATGGCATTTTTACATTACTTACAGAATTCAAAGAAGCTGCTGCGGGATGAGGGGAAGAGTCACAGAAGCCTGTTATGTGTTAGGAGTTAGAAGTAATTTTGCAAGAAACTCACAATTGAACAAATAGATATTTTAGAAGATCAGTTTTAACCATATTTCCATACTGATAAGCTTTTCAATAAAGTTTTCCATATATGACACTACAATCTGTACAAAACTTTTAAACAACAATGCTGCTACACTGGGAAACATCTTAAGTTTAACTGACTTGTTATACTTTCTAACTCTTCATGGCACTCAGATAGGCAAAGACAATGGTATTTTAAAATGTGCTTAGAGGGTTGGCCACAATCCTACTAGAAGCCTAGTCTTTGTTATCTGGAGCATAACATGCTTAAGATTACTGATCTTCACACAATCAATTTATATTTCTGGTAGAAAGGGTACTAAATATGGCACAGACACAGAAGTACAACCTGTACTTAAAGAAGCTGCCATATAGCCTGCTTTCAGAAGCCACTAGCGCTTTCATTCTTGTAATCCAGTTACCTATTTTTCAGCATTCGGTCTTCAATTTTTTTGAGTCTCAGATGACTAAGGCAGGATAAACTACTACCTGAATGCCCAGAATACCTATGATTCTTGCCATGTTGGCTGCTGCACTGTCAGCTCAGTGGGTTCCTTCTCTCTGCTAAAGATAAGGGGGCTGTGGTGACATTACACACTTGTCAGATTCCTAGACGGGTACTGATAAACACATTCTGCACCCTCCTACAAGAAGAAACTGGACCAAGTAGGGTGGATGGTACTGTGGTACTGACTGAGATGTGGGGATCTCCTAATGAAGAAAAGGGACATCCCACACAACCTTCTCAAGAGGCTGCAGTAATTCCTATCCACTAGCATATGGTATTCTACAGTTTTATCTCATCTTCTCCAGATAACCCTACAGGCATCTGACTCATGTATGATAAATATTATAACGTAGCTGAAATCAAACAGTAAAGACAGAGGCAATGCTGGGGTTCTGCAGCTGCAAGGGCTATGCAAGTCCTGCCACTGCATGTGGCTGCTGGAGCTCACAGGCTCAGATGGTGCCAGTGAGAGCAGCTGCTGAGCTTAGGAACGTTCTTTCCCCCTCAACCTTCATGCCACTTTTCCACAGTCCCAAGTGCTTTTAGTTAAATATGATCCATTTTGCATTCACTCTTACTTATTAAAAAATTTTTGTTATTTTTGAGCCCACAGAGTCCTCCTGAAACACACAGATGACAGTATTATTTCAGTCTAGAAGGTTCTGACTAGAAGGTTCTGTTCTCCCTGCACTCTGCAAAGTTACAAGGAGCTTAGGCACTGCAACAAACAGTGCAGGAATTACACTAGCTGCCTTCCTACAGTCTGCACAAAGAACCTCTTGGGGACTTCTGCAGGCAATACACAATTCCCCGGGAGCATTCTCAGTTCTAGAGTGATTATTCTATCTTGTTGGGGACCATATTGAGACCAAGCCTATTTAGAACTGAGAGGACCATTTATTTTAAAGAGATATAGCTCAGGGCTCTAAGCCATGACATGACTTGCAAGGACATAAGCTGGAAGCAACCCAAATGTCTTATCTGCCCCCACGAAGAATAACACTGAAGTACTGTGATAACTCAAGACGAAAAAATTGCAGAAAGATGCACAAATATTGTGGCACTCTTTCTCTAGACTCCAATTCTTCTCCCAGCCCATTTTACCTTCTCGTTCTGAATGAAAATTAAGTATTTGGAAAACATCTGCCCATTACATTCTTAACTGACCATTTAAAAGAACCTTTCCTTTCACATATTTCAGAATAACTGAAGCACACACAGATGGCTAACCCAGCTGTGGCAGGTGCATCAGAGTGCCAGAAAAACCAAAATCTGACCTCTGGTCTGCTCAATATCTCTCTCCGTTGTTTGGTTTCAATATTGCATTTACTGAAACTCACTAGACTGCTACAGGATAACTCAAACAAAGCTGGATTTCACAGACTTCACAAAATATTCTTAGTTGGAAGGGACACACAAGGATCACTGAGTCCAGCTCTTAAGTGAACGGCCTGTGTGGGGATCAAACCCACAGCCTCAGTGTTATCAGCACCATTCTCTAACCAAACAGATCACAGAAGGTTCCTGACACTCTGCACAAGGTACTCTTGCACAAGACAACAATTTGAAGCTGTAGAGACTGTGTAAATTTAAGCAAAATCAATCATTTCAGGAATTCTTAGTAGAGGTAAGTCCACACCTCAGTGCAGAAATACTAGTATATGCATGTAAAGTGAAGATTGTCTCCATCTACCCTTTCCTATAAAAGTTTTGACTCTCTATAATGTAGACAGCACACTGCAAGTAGAAGAAACCTCATGGATGTAATAGCATCTTCCTAGTTTTCTTCTACAGTATCCGTCTGGCTTGCAGTTTCTGTAGAAATGTTACCAAGCTAATTTGATTCCAGGTCTGACTGACAACATTAAGTCCCTGAACTCTCCCACAGGATGCAGGATTATCTGCTTTATCTGCTTTATAGTCTGGTTGACAATTTACCACTTGCCTTCACATATTTTTCTTACCATCTTTCTGGTTTCACATACTGAAGGAACCACCTCCCCCTTCTCAGAAAAACCAAACTCATTTTTCTATTGTACCCCCTAAAAAGTTACTTGAAGGAGTGGTACAAGGATCCCTTAAAACCTTATGTAGGCAGCCATCAAAAGCAAAGTAGTGCCCCGAGGAAGGAAAATAGTGACTCCCTATGGACTCTGGGGCAGTAACTCAGCTCCAGATGGACCTACCCCTCTTTCTCTCCTTTTTACCTTTTAAATGTGTGGTTTGCTAAAAGCCTTTTGATGATGTAAAAAAAAAATTTGGACTTGCAGGAATAAAACAACCAACAGCACAGTGAAATAGTAAGAGAGTCCTGACCTTCCAAAGAACACTCACATTCGGTTGGAAGAGGGAGGAACGTAGGAAGTGTACGTGTTCAACATGAGAAGAGTTTCCAGGAAAGTATAATTTTTTAATTTTTTTTTTTTAACTGGCAAGTCATAATGAAAGTGCAACTGACTTCCAGATGAGGGTGTGGTGCTTGAAGACAAAATGCAATGTGTCAGACCAATTCAGACCACTCCACCGAAGCACATCTCAATTGCAGTACCTGCTACTCATCTGCTGACAAAATAAGGTTAGTTTTGGTTTAATATTTACTGTTCTGTATATTGTGTGATATACTTAGCTTATTTACATACATTTACTCTTAGTTAAGTTGGCTTTACAGAGAGACATCATTTCACTAGGGCACATGCTCATTTCCAGTATCAAAATTAGATTTGTTGAGTAGGACAGAATTTTGCTTAATTCATTAGAGAAAAAAAATCTTTCTGTTTAAACTGGGGATATTAACTTCATTCAACATGCATTCATACAATCCCATGTCAAGTTTAAACACATTGAATTTGTATTTGACTGGAAGGCTGGAATAATTCTGCAAGAAAACATGCAGTTGCAGAGTTAATATATCTATGAATATACCTCCTAGAAAACAGTATTTGAAAAATCAGCAGAGCTTCTGAGCTATTTGGGTTCTTGTGGGTAGTTTGTACATGATAAGATTCCTTTCCGTCATAACATCCTGAGAAACCTCCAGCTGCAAGATGCAGTGTACCCGTAGCAATCTGCTTCTGTAAGAGATTCCACGTGGGCATGGCTCTCTGTGTGGGATGGAGACTAAACTAAGCTTGTTCCACCAGTGTTCAACACCCAACTCAAAAGGGGCTAATCTGCTTTTTGTAGGGGGCACATATATGTGTGCCTGAGAAACAACAGCAACAGGAATCACAAATAGGAATACGTATGTTAGCCAAAACAGAAATGTGTTTTTAAGGGAGAAATATCAACCGCTGCATTTTAGGTAACTTTGTTTCTGTCAAAAGCTCAGGTCAGGCAAAAGTCCATCAGGCAGCAAAGCACAGAGTGACAGCCAAAGTGCTTTATCATACAGACTTCTTAGAGTTAGCACTGAAATGTTTACAGCTTTGCTTTCAAGCAAATTCGCTAGTGATCCAATTTGATTAAGCATTCCCAGCTGGATTCTGTAATTAAGTGCTTTAAGACCACAACTAAATCTTTTCAGTTTAACTTCTAATTTTCTTCAAATTTCAGCTAAGTGGATTAAACCCTCCTTGTAGCAGTTACTCTTCTACTAAAAAAGATTCGCTTCCTGCTGATAACTAAATCCCTCCTCAAAGTACCATAAAGCTGCAAAAGATTACTGCTGCTGGAGAATCCTGCTAACAGAGCTTGTTAGGCATAGAACATCCCTTGCCAAAGTACTAAATAGAATGATTGTACTTTTCCATTCTGCATATCTCATTTAGGCAACAGTAAATGGCAGATTACAAGACTTAAAATAAGAGTGATCACTGTTTAAAGTTTAATGGGGAGTGTTTTGAAATGTTAACAGAATAATCCAACAAAGTCAGTAAGGATGAAGCCAAATCAAACAGTTAATTTCAAATTAATACAATTCTTAAAATATTTGGCTATCAGAATCACTGAAAAAAAAATCAAACAAACACAGAAATTATTACTTTCTCTCTATTTAGTTGGTCTGCATCCCTTATTATGAGATCAATCAGTAACTTATTTTTTCCTGGTAGACAAAACACATTAAAAAAATTAAAGAGATACTGTTTATAATAAAGATTTGGCAACCTTTCATTTCAACCATTGTCTAAAAACCAGAAATTATATTTGGGGTTTCTTGCAAGCTTGAAAAAGCTGAATTGTAGCTCTGGGGCAGAATATCAGATAAGAATCTGCTCTCAGCAACACTGACCTCATATTCTGAAACACTGTAGATGATGAGAAAGGGGGCATATGTTTTTTGTTCTCAGCTAGTTTCTGCTACTGCAGTTAAGAAACCTTAATCCCATTTATTTCAAGAAAACAGGGCACTGGAGGACTGTAGTTTACAATAGAAAGAATTTCAGCACATTAGTCAGTGAACACAATTATAGGAAAAGAATACTGTAGGACACAACTTGCTTAAGATACAATCTGAAGACAGGAACTTCAGCCCTAAGCTGGCAGTGAAAACACAGCCTTAGTGTTTACGGAGTAAATTTGTCATGAGATTGTACTGGAAAAAACAGCAGAGCTTCTGAGCTGTTTGGGTACTTGTGGGCAGTTTGCATGAGATAAAATTCCTTTCTCTCATAACATCTTGAGAAGCCTCCAGCTGTGTACCTGCAGCTATCTGCTTCTGTAAGAAATTCCATGTGGGCAAAGCTGGCTTTGGGGGATAGAGACTAAACTAAGTTTGTCCTACTGCTGGTTCAGCAACAGACTCCACTGCTGTACTTTATGCAGTGGGTATGTATATGTGTGCCTGAGAAACAAAAACACTCTCCTTATATTATCCTCATATCTGAAATGTGTCAAAATTTATGACAGCAGGCACCAAATACTACTGTTTGTCTCTCAATTTTAATCTGCTCGTGCTATGCATTCAATTTTAACAGCATTTACAGCCTTCAACCGGTACTCCTTGCTTTGCAGAGACTGTAGACAGAAAACTGTAATTCCAACCCTATAAAGGTACAGATAAAGTTATGTTGCAATGGAATATTATCAAACATAACTGAGACAGAGCAGCTAAAGCAATGACGGCTCCTTGACTGAAATGTGGAAATCAGTGAGGGGCACTCCAAGCATCTTGCAATCTCAAATGCCAAGGTTAATGAAAGCATTTCTGTTGAATACATTTAACATTGTACTGCACACATAGATGTTGTCAGTTACTCTATTCCATGTGAGAATTTGAGATGGTCTGTTATGCCTCCATTACCATTTAGCTCTACTTTGATTATTCACAAATGTATTCTCAATATCCAAATTCTTTAAATTTGAGATGTATAAGCAACCCCGAAGGAGGGGTTTATTTGCAACAGGAATTTTACAGCTTAAACTCAGTATCCCCTTCGGTATCCCCTTCTCCCCCCTTTTTTGTGTCTTGTAGCTTTGCCATAGGCTGAGATATGAATAACTCAACTGATTACTGGACTGGGGATGAGGAGGACGATCTCAACCATGTTATAGATTACACTTCATATGAACTTCTCTGTGAAAAAAGCGATGTGAGAAATTTCACCAAATTATTCCTTCCTGCGTTCTATGCACTGGCCTTCACCGTGGGAGTCGCTGGAAATTCATTAGTGGTTGCAATTTACGCCTACTGCAAGAAATCGAAGACTAAGACAGATGTGTACATCATGCACCTCGCCATTGCCGATTTGCTCCTGCTCTTCACCCTCCCTTTTTGGGCTGCGAATGCAGTGCAGGGATGGGAACTTGGAAACTCACTGTGCAAGCTCACTTCTTCTCTGTACACCATGAATTTCAGCTCCAGCATGCTGTTCCTGGCCTGTATCAGTGTTGATAGATATAGGGCCACTTCTGAATCCCGGGGCCGTAGAAGAATTGGCAAACACTGCAGTGTTACCTGCATCTGTGTCTGGCTGTCTGCCATCTTCCTCAGTATCCCTGAACTAGTATTTAATCAAGTCAAAAACCACAATGACAGGAATGAATGCCTTCCTGTATTTCCAATGAACATGGAAACACTCTTAAAATCAACCATTCAAATCCTGGAAATTATCCTGGAATTTCTGCTTCCTTTCCTAGTAATGCTGATCTGCTATTCCGCCACTGCTTGGGCAATCTTTAGATCTGCAAATGTTAAAAAGTCTAGACCTTTCATGGTTCTGCTGGCAGTAGTGGCTACTTTCATAATCACTCAGCTACCTTACAACATTGTGAAGTTCTGGCGAGCCATAGATATCATCTATATGTTGATCACTGACTGCAACACAAGTAAAACCATAGATGTTGCACTCCAGGTCACCAAGAGCATAGCTTTGTTTCACACCTGCCTGAACCCTATTCTCTATGCCTTTCTGGGTGCTTCTTTCAAAATGCATATTATGAAAATTGCAAAAAATTATGGGTACTGGAGAAGACAACAGCAGAATGGAAGACCTGAAGAAATTTCTATGAATTATGACGATCAGACAGAAGAAACAATTAGTTTCACTATATAGACTCTCCATTACTTTCATCATCTTATATAACCAAGGGAATTGTTCACTAATTCTAGGGGGGTATTGTTTCAGCAGCTGTTTCTCTGCAGGTCAACTTTCAGATGAATTTTTGAACCTGTACACTAGCCAATACACTACAGAGCAGTTCGAAGTGGAACGTGTTTATCAGAATTAAACATCATGCAAGAACTAGACACTGAAATTTTGAGAAACAATAGAGATATTTACTAAACAACAAAACCTCAAACAAACCCCACTACAACACAACCCAAACACCTAAAAAAGCCAAGATTGAAATTTTAACGTCTACTAGGCAATTAAATAGCTGTGTAATGAACAATCTGTACAAGTCTAAACATCTAATTAAAACAGAGAAAGAAACCATCATCAATAAAACAGCAGTACAGGAACTTTTGTACCAAAAGTTAATACTCTTGTGTTTCTCCAACTATTTTGTAAAACTTTAGAACATCTGCCTAATAACTGAGTTCCATTTTTCAAATCAGCTATCATTCCATATCATTCCTTGCAGCTTGAAATGATATGTAAGTTTGTGGCTGAGAGTTGAGAGGGACAGAGGGGGAGAAAAAGCCATTCTCTATGTGTTTCCACATATGTATAGCAACAACAACAGCCTCCAGAAAAAGCAGCAAGTCCTTCTCCATAACTACAGAAAAATGACCTTTCACCTCTCCTTTTCTGCTTACCCTAAACTTCAACAAGGCCAGTGCTCTATGGGAGGCAGGTTCTAGATCTCTGTAAATGTAAGAAAAAGTTAAGGTAATCTCCAGATACAGGGCTTGGAATTTCTATTCAGAATTTTTAAAATTCATCAAGCACTGCAATAACTGTATCTGCTAAAATATACGGAGATTCAATAAAGTCAAAGAACAAAAAATGCACTGGCTTTTGTTTGTTCATACTTTATGTTTTGTTTGTTTTGTTTTAGTAGGTACTGACATCTCTCATCATCATAGGCATTTACCAACCAGCAAAGTGTAGAGGCCTTGCTTGACAAATCAGAGAGGCTCATGGATTTACAGTTTTTACACAGAGAGGTACCAAAGCTGTCTCCTGCCACAGCGTTGGCAGGAATTCCAGGAAAACAGCAGTTTTCCGTGAGTCACTGGAAGCATTTCAAATATGCTGACATATTAGCTTAGCTTTCAAAATGAAAATGGGGTGTTACAGCACATTGTCCTTGTCTTCAAACATCCCGTGGGCTCTCACAAAATGCCTGATCTACGCCTTATGAAAGCCAACAAGAATCATTTTTAGACACTGTTCCAAGTTACACAACTATGGACTGGAAGAAAAAGCTCCTAAACAACAGAAAACAGGAGCACAAACAAGACATGAGCTGCTTCTCCCTGTTTGGATGACAAAAGCTCGCAGAATTTCTGCCCATCGTTTTGAGAAATACTAGGGCGTGAATGGGTAAGTCAGAAGTGCTTGACAGAAGGTCTACAAATACACCATAAATCTGACATATTTAAGCCATACTGGATTTACTGTACACAAGCAGAACACCCATGTAGAGTATGGAAAGAAACTCCAGTTCTTCCACAAAGTAACTGTCTCCTTGCATGTGTGATTTACGGCTTGTCTTCACAAATACAGAGCAGCTGCTCACAGAGTGACGTTCTGACCAGGCTGTCAGGCTTCTGGAATTTCCAAACATCCAATGTCCTAATGCCCCACTCAGAGTAAAAAGGAAAAAAAAAACCAAAACAACCAAAACCAAAAGAACCCAAACAAATGAAAGAAAAATCTCCAAAACAAACAAAAAAATCCAAACCAGGCAGAAAGGGAGACTCTGACTAAGACAAAGTCAAATGAACATTGTTTCTCAAACTTCTTGAAATTGCAGAGCCTTTTATGCCTCTATCTTTATGCAAATCTGACTGTCCCAACTGTTTTTATCAGAATTAAAACAAACGAAATCATGCTTTCTTTATGTTAACTCTCCCTTTTATAATTCACATAACTAATTTTATGAATATTATTTTGCACGTATGACCTCCTACAAACTTTCCCATTACTTCCTCAGGGACTGAAATGCACAGCTGGGAGACACTGACCCAAAGCAAAGGTAGCAGCCAGCAGTTAAGTGACACTCTTGGGTCAGGGGACAAGATACCATGCCTCCTGTTTTACGGGAGAAGAAAAGAGAGAGAGATCTATCTTCTGGTGAGTCTCGGTATTGCACAAGCATGTATCAGTAGGTAGCTGACACATTCCTGTACGTTAATGAAACATTCAAATTTAACAATTCAGTTTATTTACTTGGCTTCCAAACTCCCACAGAATGATGACTTTCAAGTTGCTGTCACACATGTTTTGGCAAAAATGTAACAGTACTACAGTATCAGGGACATTTACCACTTATAGTACAATCCATTGATTTTACTGGAAATTATCATATAAGCAAATGTCCTGAAATACTCAGCCCAAGAGCATCACAGGCTACTTTAAAAAACAGCCACATTTTACTGTAACTACACAGTATACTCAAACCTCACACCCAAACTGCTGAAGACAGCTTCATAAAAACAAAGTTTAAAGGGTATGAACATAAATGTGTGAGTTACCTGACAGAAAGAGGTAATGTGTAGAGAATAACAGTGGTATACATTCTGTGAACAAAATTCAGAGGTTCCAAAAAGCATCCAAGCCTCCAAATTGAATTTGAGTCTTGGACTTTGATTCATAGGACAAAAGCTCAATTCAGCTCTTTCTGTTGTTTTAAATTCTATTGCCTTTACTCAAGAAAAGACAAATTTCCATCTCAGAAATGAAGCATAAATATTTTTGTTTTAAGAGTTGTTGGAAAAAAATTTAGGCTTAGCCATTCTTATTTAGGGTTTCCACACTTACCACTGCTCCACCACTTCTTGCCTTTGATCACATAACTGTTTCCATCTCGCTCAATGCTGCATTGCATATTGGTGGCATCACTTGAAGCCACATCAGGTTCTGTGTTAAAGGTAAAAACAAAACCAAACCACTGGGTTAAATGAAGAGGTGGTACTACCTCCACAAACATAGGGCTGTAGATATACTCTAACAGTAACACAGTTTCACTCCCAGTAGAAAAGTTGTTTTCAGAACCTCACTGTTGGTGGTCGAAAGACTTTCTATTTTCCAACAACCTGTTATTCGTAGCCAGTTTAAATGCACTTGTTCTTGGGCTCAGATTATCCATTACCATCAACAGCTTTCTTCCTTTCCTGATCTTTTCAAATCTTTTATCCTTCCAATGTACTTAGAGAAAACAGTCATGTCTCTCCTCAGACTTTTTCTTCCCCTGGGCTCTTCTCAAGTGAAAATGAAGAGATTGAAACTAATTTTATGATAGTACGTGAAATAGAGTATACAAAGCTGTCAGCAAAATGTCATCGATGGATTATTTGGAACAGGAAAGATTCTTCCTCTCTCCTTTCACCATTACTTTTTTTTAATAGGCAAATGCTTTTGCTTTAAAGTAAAAGCATCTCTTTCCTCTTGGGGAACACAGTGAAACAGAATTTGCAAAATAAGGGTTCAGCTCTGCAAGGCTGAGTTCTCTTGACACCATCTGACATAGGAAGATCAAGATTTTGACATCAGACATTCCAAAGCTACCTTTCTACAGCAAGAGCCAGACTTTCCAAAGATGTTGAATGCCACATGCTTTCAAGAGCAAAAATTATTACAATGCTGAGCTATGGACATAAAGCAAGTTACCTCCAGGTTCTATCTTAAAACCTCTACCTATGACATACTGCAAAACTACACAACTTAATCATAGTAATCATACTTGTACCTAATTGTACGTTTCTAAAGAACCCCAAAGCATATTATAAAAAAGGGTGAGCTCTACTGTAAATCTGTTTGGTACTATAAAATGTATTTTACTAGTACTAAAAATAAACTGAAGATATATAGAAAGCAAATAGTATTGTAACCATGAAAAATGGTAACTACTGGGAAGGGCAGCAAGGGTGCTTCACTCTGCATTCACACCTCATAGATTTTATATTCAAACACATTCACAGATACAATGGAAATTTTTGTATTAATTCATTAACACACAACTTGAAGTTTTCTACTTTTTGCATATACCATTTAAAGTTTTTGTCAATTGCCTCTAACTTTCTTCTGGAGAAAAATTTACCTGTCATGCAGAAGCAAGAACTAATCTTCCCTTCCAGGAGAGGCTCCAGCCACTCTTTCTTTTGCTCTTCAGTCCCATACATGTGGAGGACCTCCATGTTTCCAGTATCTGTAAGAAATCAGAAGTCATGTTTACTTCTTGAGACACACAACTCATAAGGTGCAAGACGACCAACTTTTAAATGCTCTCAGTGCTGTAGTTATGGGACAGGGCTGCTAACCTGGTGCATGACAGTTAAAAACCTCAGGAGCAATGAGGCATTTCCCTGTCTCCTCAGCTATTAGGGCGTAGTCAAGCTGGCTGAGACCACTGACATCTGGAAGAAAAAGGTTCCACAGACCTTCTGCTTTTGCCATTTCCTGTTGCAAGAATCAACAGAGAAAAATACCATATAATAATACCAAAAATACCAATAAATCTTAAAAAACAGAAAAATAAATTCTGGCTTGCAAGACACTTCCTTCCTTCCCGCTGTCTAATACATCTCATGCCTTTTTTCAATAGCTATTTTGAAATAATAGGTACAATCTTTGATTCAAAATTCAGACACACTCCTCACAGAACTCACTTTGTTTTACTCCTCTCTCATTTCTCTCACCTTTTGCACATTTCTCTCTTCCTTTCCTTTCACTATTCCTCACACTGTTTCTTTCCATACAGAGTAACTTCTCCAGCATGATATGTCATTCTTCTGCTCTATGTCTGTGCTCTTTTACTGCTAGAATGCTAAGAATATTTACTGTCCCATACCTTCAGTTTCTCAAGAAGTGGTGGTTTCTTCCATTTTTCCTCAGTATTTCCATGTTCAGTATAGTATTTTATTATTTCCTTAGAGAAACAATTAAAAAGATGCTGTTTAAATTAAGAACACATGTAACACAGAACTAATAATATGATGTCTCTTCCAGTCCTGTGCACCAAGAAACCAATTAAAGAAATATTCATTATAGGTTTTCATTATATAGTGAGCTGTATTATAAAATTAAATGTATAATTGAAAACCAAACTGCAACCTATTCATTCTGCAAGACTTCAAATGCATCCCAGAGATGACCCCAATCAGTATTTTATTTCATACAATTATTTGGGTTTGTTTAAAGTATGTGGTGATGATGCTAGAGGGTCAGTGTTTTCTGATGATAAAAGCACCTGTTACCAGCAGTACACACAAGAGGCATGAAACCAAAAGTAAAAGCACAAATGAATGCCTGACATAATGACACTAAAGATTCAGGTTTCCTGTCACAACATTCAAATACATAAGCCAGTTAATCTTTTGTTAACAGAGAAAAACCCCACAAAGAATACATTTTCTCTTTCTGTCAAAATAATTTCTTAACAGATTATGTCAGCAGTCATTCTGAGTACCAGTGATTATAAGTAAAACTATATATTCAGTAATCTTAGTATTTCCACAAGTATGGTTTAGTGAGGTACAGTACTTCAAACCTCACCCAGAATTAGTTAAAGAATGAATAAAAGTAGTTCTCTCTTCTGTAAAAGACACAATAAGACAAATGCCCAAGTAAAATTTAGAAGTCCTGATTCACAATTCCTGTTATCAGAAATAACTTACAAGCACAACACTACTCATCTGCAAAACTTTGTGGTCCATTTCTTTTTAAAGCAAGTACTTTGATTATTGCAAGGCTTCCTTGGACAGTCCTAAACTACAATCCAAAACCAGTCACAGACAGACTTTTAAGAAACTTTGCATATCAAGAGTTACT